TGGTGAGTCATGCCCATATGTGTTTAATGAAATGCCTCAGAGAGACTTCGTTTCTCGGAACACGATGATTTCTGGAGATCATTCTCGACCATGTCTGCCTTCTCCCAAAAAGCAAATTATATTGAAGCTTTGCAGCTGAAATATCCCACACGAGCCCAATCTCATATTCGTCATTCAAATTTTTCCTTGTGACAAAATTATCCTGCCACTTACAGGCCTGTGCATATGGGGTTGGAGAAGAGGCATTTGCCTCAGGGCCTCGAATAATATATAAATTTTAGGGGCCCAAATTTTCGAAAATTATCTATAGTGTAGTGGTGATCAATATTTCAGTTAGACCCACTTTAATGCCAGGACCCAAATTCGAAACTAGGTCTCGCAAATCTGGAAAGCAATTTTGGTTTTTTTTTTCCTCTCTTTATTAAACCCTATATCCTAATTCGAGATCGTCGCTTATTGATTATGAGAGTTTGGTAAAAGAATTCATAGAGAAAAAAGGAAGAAAGATTATGTGTTAGTTTATTTTTAAAAAATTTTAGACTTTTTTTGTTCGTTTAATTTTAGACTTTATTTATTGTCGGTTTTTTACTAATTTATATTATATAAAATTATCGTTAAAAAATATTGGAAAGGGCTCCATTTTTTATCTCGCCTCAGGCCTCTAAAAATCTTGGCACGGCACTAGCCACTTACCAACTAGGTAACAGTCTCTCCCTGATGTCAGACGCATATGGTAAGTGTCTTTTGTGTCTTAGTCATACACATCAACCGAGAGTTCGTGCTCAACTTTTACCTTATGCAAATTTTCTTCATGAATATGTACCAAAATGTGTTGCTCAACGGTGCTCACTTCCCCTGCTTTAGTTTCCTTGGATTCTTATAAAAACTTTGGCTTCATGAGCTATGCATGCATGGTGTTCGATGAAATATCTCTTTTTTTTCAAAAAGAAGATTGATATTAAATATATCCTTAGATTATGATGTTGAAAAATATCATATTTTCCTATAAACTAAGTAGTTCCTGATTAGTTATACATTCCTATTGACCAATGCCAAAAAGCACATAAACTGTGCATATATATTTGAATCAACTACATGACTTTAAAAAAAAATAGTCAATTCCAACAAAACCAACAAAACCTTAAACGAGGTGAGTTTTTCGTTAGTTAACGTGGTTTTGATCTAGTTTAAAATTTATTGAATTTTTGTTTTTTAAGGCAGGAGACGATATTATACTCTTCCTCGATAATACAACTTCAAGGTATCAATCCATTGTTAATAACTAAATGCATACGACTAAATGCATGCAAATAAGAGCATCATGCATTTACTTAGAAACTTGAAACTTGAGATTAAGCGATTATTCGAGTAGGCTAACGAATAATCATTTTTTTTGTTTAGCGAATACTACTATTTTAGTTTGTAATTTAATATAGGGCTAATTTGCTTAATAACAAAAAAAAATATAATTAGAAAACTAACAAAAAGTAGCATACGTGGTATATTTATATCTATTAGACGTAGATTAATTGGTTAGATTTTGAATTATTTTTTTTTTTGGGTTATGGAACCATATTTTTGTTTAATATATATTCAGCTTACACCTCCATTCATGGAGTCTCTTTGATGGGGTTCTTATCT